AGGAACAGTTGGCTGGAAGGAATTCATGAAATAGTCTCATCGGAAACCGAAAGAGGATTGCTGAGTAAAATCTGTCGTATTGTAAGAACTCGGTTTACCGTCCTGTGACCCAGATGAACCTGTGCTAAGCTTTCGTCTGTACCGCGGTGACAGATATCGTCAGAGCAGGAATCCATACTTTACGAAATAGAGCCAAAATATACTAAACCTTCAGCGATTTTCATCTTTGGCACATGAGAAATCTAGTTGCACACTACTAGAATCCATTTTAAACGGCAAACAATCTTTCGCCTTCTCGATACATTTCCACTGCAATACCTTGTGATCCAACTTTTCAGTTCAAGGCAAAAACTGGTTGGAAGGAATTACAAAATTGTTCCCTTGAGAAGCTGAATTTGGATCACCCTGAAGTTTCCAGGAATGTGCAAAGAAATCCTCTGCTCGCCATCTCGATTATATCTTTTGGGTCTGGCGGTTCTTTCTTGAATCATACTTTCTGACCCCGACGATGGGGCAGCTGAAAGTTCAGCCTGAATGGATCAGAATAGTAGGACGGGGAGCCGAGCAACCTCACTCAACGGGAATCAATTTAACTTCCGTTTCCGGTGAGGCCAATCTATGAATCCCCACTGCATGTCGAGTCACATTACATTTTTAAACAATTCCTCGAAACCCTGCTATTCTTTATATATACCATGCCTTAACAAGCATGTGGTATGGGTTGTAGATGATTCGACTTATTCTCAATTTGGTTGACTAGGCCAAAGCTTAAGTTGACTCTGGATCAGGAATAATTTGAAGGATACGCTTCTACGGCTCGAGAAGTGCATGATGACCGGCCGGCGTTCCATCTCAGTGTGAACATCAGCAGTTCAAGACCTAATTGTCACTACGTTCTCCGACTGTTTGTGCTATTTTTGGGCAAATATTTTTATTCATTGATGCTCAACAGTGCCTGTACGCTCTATTCGGAGTGTTGACATCGTTTCGTGCCCATCATGGTTTGTGTTAGGCTCTTCTGGGCAGTTCTGCACATCATTGGTAGCATCCAAGCCACCTACAGATTCGGAATAAGTTAACCCATGATGGGTTCATGACATTGACACGTATCACATTACAGTCAAAATCAGGATCACAATCAGTTGGCTGGATTGCATCCGGCCATTCTCCATTATCGAGTGTTTCTGTAACTCTTATTCAGAAGCTACTGATAATTTTAAAGCCTACACATATATACTATAAGTAACTTAATATGATATATGATTATATGTTATATACTATAATGTAAGTAGTAAAATACAAGTTTGTTTTACCGACAATCCCACTATAAATGTGATATGTGAATAGGTTGATCCTGCTTGAAATTCACCTATGCCCTGTGGCTTTGGGTAGTGTGATATTGTGGTGACGTATCAAGTTTATATGCGGCATTGCCACAACCGGGACTCGATTTATATTGGGGATGCTGATAAGATCCAGACTTAATGGAGACCTCAGGCCAGTCGGAATGAAAATACCTTTCGAGAAGCAGGGCTATATGAAACTCAATGGCATCGTGAGGCTTACTCATCGGATCGCGAGAGAATTCAACTGTCGATCCTTATGCTCTTATGGAAGAGCATTATTCGGAATAATATTACTCTCTAATCACCAATGGCAACAACCCAAGAGCGACCGTTATTCGGCTTTCTGGGGCAAACCTATCAAATCACCTGTGCCAAGAGTTCACACAAATCAAGATGTCTCCGTTGACACAAACGGATGTACACTTTGCTCGATTCATCTTCTGGTGTCGATTTTTCCTTTAAGGTGCCACTGTCTTTAGTCGTTAGGATTTCAGCGATCCTCGAGCTGATCATTTGCAAGACGAAATCACGGATGGATCAGATGCATCACCGTCTAGTTACATTTTTTTATTAACAACATTGCAGCCTACAAAAACGGCCTCTAGCCAAAGTTGACGGATAAGTTTAGAAAGCACAAGTGGATGACACTCGCGCCATGCTGCCTGATCGTTCCCAATTGTTCACCAGCATCCCACTGCACAGTTGAGTGACGTTGATAAACATTGTGGGCTGGAGGAGCCTTCTGTGTGCCTGGCCTGATGGAGATCATCACTTGTAGGATAAGGGTTGTCTAGGAGACGGAGGCGCTGTCAGACGTTTCATTTTTGCAGCACCGCTCTGTCAGGGTGTAAGCTCGTCTCAGGTGGGCCCCATCTGACCTGGATGCGAGCAATTATGTACAGAAAAGTATTGGGTAAACCTGCAGGCCGACAGTCCCAATTCACATTTTCGGTGCCTAGGTCGCTTAGAGTCAATTTAGAACTGATAATTGGGTCTTTTCACATTCTCATTCCGACTGGAGTTGATTGCAGTCTTCTCACTACCTCCAACGGAATTTCACATTATCTATATGCAAAATAAGTAACTACAAATTACAAATGTTACATCTTCCCTGTACCCAGTGGTATCAGTGATTGTGAAGTAGTTACTCGTGTCGCCATGACGTAGTTGGTACTTAAATCACCTGGGCTGACTAGATTACTACTTCATCATAGTGGATACGTAGAGAAACTTGGTTTCGATGAATCTCTAGAGATAACATTGTTAGAGGGACCTTCATTTGGTAAGAAAGTGCATAAGAAAAAATTCGTTGGTCGATCTTACCAGATGAGGACGGATGAATCTCGTTGTACTGCAGCAGTTTGAATAGAAAACATTTGACTAAATAGTTGGAACGGCTGACAGATATATTCCTGTAAAATAATTATCCTTTGGGCCTAATTGAGAATAATATCTCTCTATTGAGGAGTACATTTTCAGACGGAGACCATTTACTCAAAGAGAGACAGACTGAGACTTTTCCCCATGTCCTAATTTTGCCGTCATGTTTTCTCACAAAAAAGATGGGCGAATTAGTGAAGAAGTGAGGCATAAAAACAGTGTTCAAAGAAACTCTCACACTCTTCTATTATGCCATCTTTTAGATAGAAATATGGCCCATTATCGAGATCCGGCTGCTACAAGATTGTTTGCTCATGTGCTCGATGTTGTGTTGGTGAGACATGTCGACCTATTCGACACAGATTGGGAGAACACAAAAATGCTTGTAAAGGAAGTTGGGTCAAACGGTCAAAAGTGGCCAAACACGTGGTAGAAACGGGACATGAAATAAAATGGTCTCAAACTAGTAGGTTTGCTGATTACGGTACGTCTGCTGTTATAAGAAAGATAAGAGAGGATATTAGAATTAATAGCTCAGGAAATACGTTGAATGTGAGGAATGGTGGTAGAAAGTTGAGTAGGAATTACTTATGCTTGATTGATAGA